CAATAAGGGGGGCGGAGGGTAGGGAGGGAGAGAATTTGGAACTCAATTTTTTTTTTCGGTGAGGCAGTCAGGGTTAAGTGACTTGCCCAAGGTCACATGGCTAGTAAGTGTCAAGTGTCTGAGGCCGGATTTGAACTCAGGTCCTCCTGACTCCAAGGCTGGAGCTTTATCCACTGTGCTACCTAGCTGCCCCAGGGACTCAAAATTTGAAAAAAGGAAGGTTGAAATTGTTTTTACATGTAATTGGGGAAAAAATAAAATATTAAATTGGGAAAAGATAATGGAAGATAATGCTAAATTTCAGTTAGAGACTAGTGATAGATTAGGAATAGAAAGAAGAAACTCTGCTAATATCAAATACACCACGTCTGTGGCAATGCTGATTTTACAGTGTAGTAGTACAAAAAAGTAAATTAAGTTAGTGTGGCATGATCTGTCAGTAAAGACATGATAACTTTTAATAATCAATACATCCCTTTAAGAATCACACCTTTAAGCCCATAGTTTGAAGACTCCATCCTCTTCCCTTTTTTGAAAACCAGTACATTTATCATTTTCCAGGTCTGTAGTACTGCTGTTTTCCAAAAAACATTTTCAAAAAAAAATTTTTAGAGAGGTAAGGTGTTGGATATAACTGGTTGACCTGCTAGAACAAAGCAGGTCAGGATGGACCCAAGAGTAAAGTATTGGGAAAAGAAATGTTTTTTACTATTTGCCTTCCTTCCCCTAATGAGATAGTGTAGACTAATGAATAGAGAGCAGGCCTCCAGAGTCAGGAAGGTCTGGGTTCAAGTTCCAAGTTGGACACAAAGTAGTATCCCAGGGCAAAGCTCAGCACAAACCTCTCAACACTCCAGAAAACCCTCCAAGAAAGTAAGTTGCTAAGAAAGTGCTGACCTGCATCGCCAGAGCAAATAGCAGTTGTGCTACTACTGCAGTACTGGAGGGTTGCCTACTACAGTAATGAAATCACAGGTCGAGACCAAAAATTGGATATGAGTCCAAAGAACATTATTTCCTGCCCTTCCTCAATGAAGCCACAAACAAGCAGCTCAGAAATTCCTGCCAGACCCTGCCTTCCATGTCCTCTTCTGTTTAGCCTGCTCAAAGTGCGTTGAAGTCCAAGGCTATCTGGGGAAATCTGATGCAGACCAGGGAATCCAGATAGATGACTGACAAAATAACCTGGGGCCTAGGTCCAGTATGAGAAGGAAAATTAAAACCCTCTAAGTCCAAAGTAACATTGATCCATTCAAGCTGGAAATCCCTTAGTAGATCATATCTTAGAGCTAAATTTCCTCATCTTTTTGATGTTAGGGTGGATTAGATTGCCTCTGAAGTCCCTTCCTGCTCTAATACTCTACCATTCTATGATAACCTTCCAACTACAAGAATCTGTGTTTTAGGCCAACATCCTCATTTTACAGATGAGAAAACTGAGGTCCCCAGAGGACTTGCCCATAGTCATACAGATCCAGCAGTAACATTTGCCATTACAATAGGAATTAGCCAAACTGTCATTGCTCCACCAAATACACAGCAGTTTTGGCAATTTCTGCCACTATAATCTTGAGGAAGACCATATAGGCCAGGGATGGGGAATCTGCAGCCTCAAGGCCTTGGACTACGTCCAAGTTTTACAGAACAAATCCTTTTATTAAGGGGATTTGTTTTGTGAAGTTTGGATTTAGTCAAAGGGCTGCACTTGAGGACTGAGAGGGCTACATGTGGTATAGGCGACCCCGGTATAGGCACATATCTGTGTCAGGGAGATGGATAAGATAGGATTTATAAACTCAAATTAGGGACAAAATATACTCCAAATTTCAGAGATGAGTTTCACCCTACTGCTTCCCCACCCCTCATATGCAAAATGTATTTGATTAAAGGCTTAACCTTAATGAAAAATACTTCATTGGATCTAGGAAAATACTCCATAAAGCAACACAGATCACAACTCCTTCACATTTTCATCTGATGCATGTCTATGTCTTTCTTTAAATTCTTCCTCCATAAAGGATATGCCCCATGGTTTAGAGGTCTTCTTCTAGACTTATTACTGTTTCATGAGTACCAATGCAACACTCAGGCTATTCATTCTTATCCCTTTCACTACATGACCAAACTTCTTCCTGCTCCAGTTAGTCATGTCTTTGGTGATACTGTTTACACTATTTCTGGTACACTTTCACAAAGACTGTGAATAATATATGTCGCAATCTATTTATAACCATATATTCTTCCATTTCCCCTTGGGTACAATAAAAAAAAAAGTCCTATTTATAATACTCTTCTTCTTCTTTTTTTTTTGGCTAGGCAATGGGGTTAAGTGACTTGCCCAGGGTCACACAGCTAGTGTTATATGTCTGAGGCCAAATTTGAACTCAGGTCCTCCTCACTTCAGGGCCGGTGCTCTATCCACAGTGCCACCTAGCTGCCCCCTATAATACTCTTCTTAACAAACACAAAGTTCCTACTTAGTAATAAAGTACTGTGCTGGGTACTTTGAGAGATAGAAGTTTTAGGTAAGCCAATGTTCTTACCTCATGAAAATTATATTCTGGTAAGGAGATATACATGTAAACAGATAACAGTATATGATAAGCAAATGTATAAAACAAATTGCCATGGCGAACTCCTAAGAGAAAAAGTTTGGATGATACAAACATACCTGTTAAATAAGAGGTAAATTGCTTCGGTCCACAACGAATTGCATAACGGGTTGTTGTTCTCACAGCTTTTTGTTCAATTAGGGAAGCATCCCTGGGACAGAATATAGTTCCGTCTGATGTCTCCCCCCACCACCTCACTCGGACCAGAACAGGAGTTGGAGGCTTCACAACCATCCAGAGTATTTTACTAATGGTTAGTCTCAGAAAACATCTCAGCTGACCTTCAACCAAAGGTGGTAGACTCGTGGATGGTGAAATATCACTTAGACCTGTGCAAAAAGACAAGAATGATAAATCAGAATTTGGAACAGGTAAGCAAATAAGACACTATGTAACAACTGGAGAAACTTAATTTCTGCGAACAGCTCTCTTGATATAGAGAAAAGAACACTACATTTGAAAATCAGAAGATCCGTGTTCAAGTCTCAACTTCATCACTGGGGCAAGCCACTGAATTTTCTGTTTGGCCCATTACCTATACAATATGAGGGAGTTAGGTGAGATGATTTCTCAGGTTCCTCCTAGTATTAACATAGGAACATTGGTGGAAATTCCAGAGAGGCAGATTTGGGTTCAATATAAAAACAAAACAAATCATTATGAAAATTAGAGCTGTCCCAAAGTGCACCAGGCTGCCTAGCAAGGCAAGAAGTTTCTCATCACTGGTTAGAGTCAAGTGAAAGCCAGATTACTTGTTGGGATAGTTATGGGGGGATTCCTATTCAGGTATGTATGTCGGCTTAGAAAACCTCTGAGGTTTCTACCAACTCTGAAAAGTTGTGATTTTATAGAGGACTTTATGGTACTAAACTTGGCAACTTCCATTTTAAATCTCTAGTATTTAAATCACCCCTCAGTATGACACTGCAGATTCACGAATTTATTTTCACACTCTCTGGGTTTTTTCAGTGTCAAATTCAATAATCATTATTATGTGCTGGAGATATAAGGATAAGTATAAAACAACCTTTGTGTAGACTGCTGAGGGGGGAAAAGGGGGAGACACAACATCTGCACAGATAAGTGAATTTTGACAACGTAGAGTGAAGGTGACAGAACATTACATTACAGACACTGAAGCCTGCTTCTCCCCTACATCCTCAAATGGTCATGATATAAGGTAAAGTTACTTTTTGACTAAAATCTTTCTAATCTGAAATCTATGTAGGTTCAAATCTTTGGCTTTCTAACGGAATTCTTCCTTTCTGGACTTTTCTAGTTAATAGGGCCTATATAGATGTGTCAATCAGAAAACTGAAGCTCAAAGCGTTGTCAAAGGGGTCCCAGAAAAACTGGACGTGGGCTAAACAGCCGGTAAACGCATGCCCTGAGACTTTTCCTTTTTCCTCTTCCCCACCCCCTCTCGGTAAGGATGCTGTTCTCTCTCAAATTCCCTTGGGGGTGCCCCATTTCCCGAGTTTCCAGAACTGCGGCACTCCTCACACCTGCTCAGGTTTGTCTTTCCCATCTTCCCCTCCCTCCCCACGCCGCCCTCAGCCGTCCATCCTTCTTCCCTGGAAGCCCCTGGGTCCCTTTCCTCCCAACCTCTCCGCAGCACCCCTTGCACCCCGGCTTGCACCCTCCACAGCCTCCTCCTCCCGACCCCTGGCTCCACGCTCTCCTCAGGGCTGCCCCCGCCCGGGGCCCTCCCCTGGGGTTACCTTTCTTCTTGCGGCTGTGGCCGCCCCCAGCTCCTGGACCCTTCCGCTGCTTCATGGTGAGGCGGTGCTCTCAGTCCCTGAGGCGCCGGCGCCGGAGCCGCAGACCCCGCAACAGCGCCTTCGCCGCGTCTTCCTCCCACTCCGCCAGGGCAGCTGCAGCGTCCCGCCAAGGCTCACCCAGCCGCTCCGCGCGCGCGTTCCCTCGCAACCGCCGCCGCCGCCGCCGCAGGGCCTCCTGGGAAACTCAGGGAAGCCACAGGCGGCTGTCTCTGTCTACCAACAGTAGTGGCTCCCGACGGCGGGCAAGGAAGGCGCGTTAGGGCTGTTTCTTCCCAGGAGAACTACAAAGCCCAGGATGCATTGCTCCCGCTCTCTTTCTCGTAACGGATCCGTACTCCTCTGGCCACCGCCCCATCTCCTTCAGCCGGGTTCACATTAGCAATGCGCAGGCGTGGCAGCGACCGTTCTCGGAGGACTCCATTGGTTACGCGGACCCCGCCCTCTCGCGCCGGGCTCGTGCCGACTTTGCTACCCAGGCTCCTTCGCAGGAGAGCGGGTTGCGCACTTCCGGCCAGGTCGCTGAGGAGACAAGGGCCGAGGAGTGGCTGGGCTGGGCGACAAGGGGAGGGGTTTGGGCGCTGGTGGGCGGGAGGAGGCGCCGCCGGCGTCTGGGGGCTGTCCGAGGACTACGGTAAGCTGAGCAATTTGAGTGCTGCAGCCGCTTAGGCTTCGTCCAAGTGGACTTGTCCCAGAGGCGACGCTTGGGCGCGACAGGGCACAGGACGCGACACGCGGCGGCCTGGGCCTCCCTACTGCCTTCCTCTCCTTTCATGTCGGCCTTGGAGAAAACCATGCACCTGGGCCGCCTGCCCTCCCGCCCACCCCTGCCAGGCGGCGGGGGCGGCCAGAGCGGAGCCAAGCTGCGCATGGGGTACGTACCTCCCATCGCTCCGCACCAGGGCTGGGCCGGGGCCCAAAAGAGATCTGGGTCTCCTGAAGTAAAGGGACGGTTGGGAGGGAGGGGTCACCCGAGGGCGCCTTAGGTGGGGAAGGGGCGAGTGAGAGACCGGGGGCGGGGTCTACTCGAGGAGACTTGGGAGGGGGGGTGAAGGGGCAGGGTGACTCGAGAGGGCTTTGGAGAAGTGATAGGTGATGGCGGCGGCGGGGGCGACCCGAGGGGACGTTGGAGAAGGGACAGGTGATGGGGGCGACCAGAGGGGGCGTTGGGGAAGGGGCAGGTGATGGGAGAGTCCGGTCCTTGGAAAGGGAAGGGGCGGGGCAGGTGGGAATGAGAGAGGTGGGGGGCAGGGAAGCCGAATGAGGAGGGGAGGCCGCTAATAATAGATGACCGTGAGGGGCCCGGGGTGGGCCCGTGGTGGGCCCGTGGTGGGAGGGGAGCCCTGGGAACTGAGTAAAAGCAGACTGCCTTGTGGGAAGGTGGAAGGGCAAGAGTAATAAAGGAGACCACTCAGAGAATAGAAACGGCCATGAAAAGGTCTGAAAGGAACTTGACTCAAGTTATAGAGAGAATGAAGAGTGCGGAGGTGTGAGTCTGAGAGGTCAGATTGGGAGGTGAGATGGCCCTGTAGTGATTGGGGAAGGAGTGGGCTTTGAAGTTTAGATGGTGGAGAGTACTAGGTGCTTGGTTGTGTGAATTGTATTATGGATAGAGAGTAGGGAATGTGATTCAGTGAGCTTGGCGTTTTGGAGAAGTAAACGGGAACAGAGTAGGTGAGGAACAAATGATAAAAAGAATAGATGTTAAGGGCAGTGGGATACCTGATCCTAAAGAATTATTGGAATCATAAGACCTAAAGAAGAAAAGAGGTAATAAACTCTAGGAGATTAAGGAAGAAGTTTAAAGGATGTGTGCTCACAATTGAACTAGTTGAGGGAAAGGGTTAGGTATTTCTAAAGAGAAATCTTGGCCTTTTAAGAATTAAACTTTTAGAGAGGGAAGGAAGGTTAGAGATTAATAATGATGCAGAAACTGTAGAAGCTGTTATTGCCTCTATTTCTTAGGTGTTAATTTCTTATAACAACTTTCAGAAATGTGAGCTATTATTAAAGTTGATGTTTGATTTTTTTTCTTAAACTCTGGTACTGAAATCAAAACTCAGACAAAGGCAGACACTATTTCACTATAAGGATATTAAATATATTGAGCTTGCCACCAGTATTGACATAAAGGTTAATAGGTTGTGTTTACCTTAGTCATCTCTAGTTAGAGTTAGGAGTTTTCCCTCTGTCAAAGCAAGTCCCCTGAAAGAGACTTGGGGAAAAAATTCCAAAATAAAAATTTTAAAAGACCACGGGTTTTACGGATATTTACTTGCACAAAAATTCTTTATAAAATGTGTTTGCTTTTGGTACTTAAGTTCTTTTGCCTCTAAGGGAATATACTTTTTAATTCGTTGCTGATTGGATAGTGATATTGGAAAGAGATGAATGGTTTTGCCTATAATTGTGGATTTCTAGTGGGAATTTAGAGTAAGCATTTGTTTGACCTCTAGTTTTGATCCATACTATGGTACTGAGGCCTTCTTGTTCCTGTTTGTCACTCATTTTTGTTTCTTTAATAATATTCCCTCACTGTGACAGGCATGCCTCACCCAAAACTAAACTAATAAGAAGAAATGTTTTGATTCATTCTCTGCTATCCTAATGCATGCCAGCACCTTCTCTGCAATTATCCTTCCCTATAACACTGAAATCACAGGGCCAGTCTCTATTCCTCTTTGTCTTATATAATGGACTCAGAGCTTAGAGATTGAGTCAGTATTTTACATATAAGGAAGTAGAAGATCCAGTCAAAGGAAATGATTTGCCTGAGATCACATAACACATTAATAGCACAACCTGGACAAAGAATCTAGGTCTCATCATTCCTAAGTTCAGTGTACTTTCTACAGGGTGTATGTCCCAAAAGTTTTAGTGCAGTTTTAAGTTATTAAAGTGTTATTAAGCTTTAATAGCTTAAAACTGCATTAAGTTTTTTGGGATCTTCTGTACTATACCCAGCTACCCTGTCCCCATAAAAGCGTCTTGGGAACATGTAGTGATTTAGGTGGAGTCATGCTATGTGTAGATGAAAGTGTTCAAACTACATTCCTTTTCAGACATGCTATTACTCAGACTTTGGCTTTTCACCCTCCCATTAATCTTGTAGGGTTAGTGAGGCTTCATTGTTTACTACAAGTCATTCATTTATATTCAGTGTCAAAGGTTTTTTCTAGTCATTCCATGCCTAGTGTACTTCTCTCTCCTATTTTCTCTCTACTATTTGCCTTGCCATTTCTCTTTACTCCTCTTTACTCCTTTACTGCCTGTTTCCATGAAATTATGGAACTTGACAGTTTATTCCTCACCAAACTATTCTCTATTGCCTCTTTACATTCAAGTTTTAGTAAAGTCTTACTGTTGTGAGCTGAGAAATCTTATTTTTGTTGATCTATTTAGTGTTCTATTTAGTCATTTCTATTTCTAACCTTGGCTTTGGAGGTGGTGTAGTGAATATAGTGCATACCTGGAGTCAGGAAGACCCAAGTTCCAATCTGGTTTCAAATGTTAGCTATGTGACATTGGGCAAGTCTCTTAACCTCTGCCTTAATTTCCTCATCTGTAAAATGGGGGTAATACTAGCATCCACCTCCCAGGTTGTGAGGACCAAATAGGATAATAATTGTAAAACACTTAGCCAGTGCCTGGCATACAGTAAGCACTATATAAATATTGGGTATTAATGTTATTATTGTTTTTTGTTGCTAAAATTTTTTTCTCCTTGGAAAAAAATTTCTACTCATTCTTTGAAGTCTGATTCTTTCTATCACTTATCTTCACCAGCCTCCTATCCACCCCAGACCTTTTCTTCCTTTCTCTTTCATAAGACCTCTGGAGTGCATTTATCATTTATTTATATTATAGTCGTATGTGTGCCATATCTACTGGGCACATATATCCCATAAGTTCTACGAAGGTAAACGACCTCATTGAATCGGTATTGATTCTCTTCCAGAATCTAATATGACTCTCTATATGTAGTAGGAACTTAAATGCTTATTGAATTTAATGAATGAAAACTTTATTGCTATTGAGGGTCAGTAAAAATGAGGGCAATAGATAAATAAAAAGCAGCCAAATTTAGTTCATTTGGGATTTTGTTTTGCTTCTTCAGAGAGAAATATTAAAAGGTTCTACCTAACCTGATAAGAATTTCCATAGATTTCCATAGGTTCCATGAGAATTCTATATAAATTATTCTTGTCAAAAGAGCTGGCTAAAGAAGCAAAAGCGCTGGACTTTGACTTAGGAGAGATCCAGATTAGAATGCTGACTTTTATCATTAGCAAGCATTATTAAGCCCTTACTATGTGCTAAACCATGTGTTTAAGCACTGAGGATAAAAAGAAAGGCAAAAGTTGGGTTCCTTCTCTAAAGAAGCTCGTATTCTAATGAGGAAAACAACTTGCAAATAACTATGTGCATACAAGATATATACAATGTATGTAGAAGGTAATCTTAGAGGAAAGAGACTTGGGGATACCAGGAAAGATCTCTTGTAGAATGTGGGATTTGAGTTGAGTCTTGAAGGAAGCCAGGGAAGCCCTCACTGATTATATCCATGGACAAATCATTTACCCTCTCTGAAGTTCAGTTTCTTCATCTGTAAAATAGGGATGATTCTGGAATCCTACTGAACAGCACTATTGAGACAAACTTTACAAAGCTTAAAGTACTATATAAATGTGAGCTGCTAATTCATATCCTGTTGTATTTTAGTATGTTATCACTTCTCTTTGAAGTAAGAATTAGCTTTTTAGTAACTGTTGACCACTCCTCAATTGTTCTCTGTCTTTATGGTCCTAGAACTCTGGATGGTATAGTCACAATATAGTGACTAAACTGGGGAGATTCAGAAAACTTCTTAGATTAGGTAGCACCCAAAGCTGGATCTTGAAGGAAGAGAATGATTTCAGCAAGCAGAAACAGCACTATTATATTACTGGTACAGTCAGGAAAACAGAAATGGAAGTGTAATTTGCCCCAGGTCACAGATTGAGTTAGGAATTGAATTCAAAGGCTTTGTTCCTACTTTTTCTATGGTTGCCAATTCCTTTAACTTCATTCCCACTACCTTACAACAAGATTATTCTATCTAATGGCTTTAATGTTGTGATTTGTGTAGCCTAATCTTTTCAAATGGTGGTCAAACAAATAGAATAATCCTTCATGTACAAATTGTTCTATTAAATTAGCTGAAATGTAACTTTCTTGAGTCTTAGGTAATTCAATAACTGAACTCTACTGGATTAGACCTGTAAATACAGAAGGGTACATTGATAAGATATTTTTGCAGCGAAATTTATAACTCAATTACCAAAAAAAAAAAAATTCTTGGTACTAAAGTGTTAGCCCAGAAGTAATTTTAAAGATTTTTCTTTTCTGGTTAATGATGCCTATAAACCTTCAGACCAAAAGCAACAGCAAATGCAATTATATTATTTTTCATACTTTCCCGTGCCAAACCTACAGTGTGTCCATTTTGTTCTATGGAGTTGCTTTTTAGTAGTCTTTATACAATGTTTTCTTACTTATCTTTATTGTCAATGTTTGAGTGTTCAATTGGTGTATTGTAATATATTAGACGCCCTGTATCCCACTCATCTGTAGCAAACACTTTTTGGCACCCTCAGTGACTGGAGCCCCCTAGCAGTTGCCTGTATACTAAAGCCACGCATTTGAATAACCAAGATAATGTCTAAGGCTCACCTCTTATTCACTCTTTAAAAAAAATTAAATTAAAAATAATTCTTAACAAACCTATTTATTTGGTATAGCAAAATAGGGCAGTAGGCATGTATTACAGACAAGCACCGTGGGAGCTCATGGTGTGGAATGGAGAAAAGAAACAGGAGAACTAAAGTATACACA